GGCATGCTCTCTTCCTGGGGGTCTGCCAGGGCCCCCAGATATCTGCGTCTGTGTGTGTCCAACCCAGACCTCTCCCCCAAGCACACACCAGAGAGCCAACCACTGTCTTTCACCTGCACTTGGATGTGTCAAAGACACGGGAAATCAGTACATCCAAACATCCCACCACAGCCTCTACCCACTCCTTCTCCTTGGTTCCCCATCTCAGCAGTCTCTATGCAACAAGGGCACAGGTCCCACACCAGCCTGGGATCAGCCTTGCTCCTCTCTCCCCTCCCCCATGTCCAAACTACCACAGATCCTCTAGATTTTGCCTCTTTAACCTTTTCTGAATTGTCTGCTTGTACCCATTTCATCACCACTAAGCTAGTCCTGGACACTCAAAATTGCCATCAAACTAGGGTTACTGGATGAAACATAGAATGTCCAATTAAATTTGAGTTTCAGATAAACAATGATTTTTTTTAAATATAAGCATATCCCAAATACTGCATGAGACATACTAAACAATTACTCATTGTTTATTTGAGATTCAAGCTTAACTTGACAGCCTGTTTGGTGGGGAAGGGATTGTGCTTGTTTATTGCTATGTGTGTGTGTGTATGTGAGTGTGTGTGTATGTGTGTTTGCACACCATGTAGCTTTCAAGATCTCAGTTCCCTAGCCAGGGGTCAAACCTGGGCCACAGTGGTGAACATACTGAATCCTAATGACCAGACTGCCAGGGAATTCTCCAGCCTGCATTTTTAAAAAATATCCCTTTCTAGTTAAAATGTTAAATTTTCATGAAATCTTTGAAACGTTTCAAGATGTTTTTAAGGATTATCTTGTATTTTTATTTGCAAAAACTGGCAATCCTAATCCTAATTGATCTCCCCTCATTCCCACACTGTGGCCTGATGATCTCATTCAAACACACTTTGCTAAGTAGCCAGTGAAACTAAGTATGTACATCATAATTCTTAGATTCACCTCTTTTTTAAAAAGTGTATGTAATATGCAGCACGGTGACTATAGTTACTAATACTATATTGTATATTTTGAAATATATTATATATATTTCAAAATATACAAATATATTTCAAAATATATTGTATATATTGTATATTTGAAATATATTGTATATTTGATCTACTCTACCAAGAGAGTAGATCCTAAAAGTTCTCATTGCAAAATAAAAAAAGCTTGGAACTATGTATAAGTGATGGATGTTAACTAGATTTATTAGGTGATAATTTTGTAATAGATATAAATATCAAATTAATATGCTGTATACCTGAAACTAATATGATGTTATATGTTAATTATAGCTCAGTTTTTTATTAAATCAAAAAATTAAAATTAAAAATTTGAAAGTACAGAGAGGGATGTTGTAGGAGTTTGGGATAAGCAGATACAAACTACTATATACACAGTGGATAAACAACAAGGTCCTACCGTATAGCACAGGGAGCTATAGTCAATATCCGGTGATAAACTAGAGTGGAAAGAACATTAAGAAGAATGTACATATAACTGAATCACTTTGCTCTACAGCAGAAATTAACACAACACTATAAATCAACAATACTTCAATAAAATAAAAGAGAATAAATAAAACAACAGGGGAAAACACTTCTCAGTTCAAAAATAATTAAAAGCACAGAAAATCCAGTTACTAGCAACAACTTAAATCTGCTAATATTGTATTAAGTGCCTACTGTATACCAGGCATGCCTAGAAAATGAAATGTTCCATTTAACCAAATATTCCGAACAGCCAAGTTATCATAGGTAATATACATCATGTTTGGCATCACTATTGGCAAGGATTATAATATAACAATATAAGCAGCACTAAGACTGAACTCAGCATTTTGTAGATAGGATGCTTCAGAGTCACCACATAAAGCATCTTAGAGGCACAGAAACATTAACCCAGGATCCGGAAAGGACACAGGGCTGAATGCCAGGGACACGGAGATCTGATCCAGTCTCACTCATGCCTGGTTGTTGGATTAGGGCAAAGCGCTTCACTTCTCTCCACTGCAGTTTCCTCGTCTATAAAGCGAGGAGCTAGACTAAATGATCTATCTCTAAGGGCTCTTTTGGCTCTGATTCAATTAACTTAGAGTGTGATAGATTGAAGAAATGCTGGCTAATGGTGCTTCTGTTGAGAGAATGCTGAATATACTAGTTTTTACTGTACTTCTATAAAAATGAAAAAGTTCTTAACTTCATATCTCTGAGAGGAAAAGATTCATCATCATTGGACTAGAGAAAATGTGGTCAATGTAGTATGATTCTGTAAGGATGGAAATGGATTAAGAAATTTTTATAGAGTTCCCAGAAATCCAAAGGGCTTCCCTGATAGCTCAGTTGGTAAAGAATCCACCAGCAATGCAGGAGACCCTGATTTGATTCCTGGGTCGGGAAGATCCTCTGGAGATGGGAGAGGCTACCCACTCCAGTATTCTTGGGCTTCCCTTGTGACTCAGCTGGTAAAGAATCCGCCTGCAATGTGGGAGAGCTGGGTTTGATCCCTGGGTTGGGAAGATCCCCTGGAGAAGGGAACGCTACCCACTCCAGTATTGTGGCCTGGAGAATTCCATGGACTGTATAGTCCAAGGCGTCTCAAAGAGTTGAACACGGCTGAGCGACTTTCACTTTCACTTTCAGAAATCCAAGGACAGAGAAGACACTAGATCCCTAATTCACAGGGCAAAGGTCCCTGTGGAAAATCTTCACAACGTGCTGAAGTCAAAATCTGCCTAATGGACACAGAAGTCCGGAGGAAGTTCACATAGCTTTTAAGGAGAGCACCTTCCTCCCAGCTCTGGGAAATCCAGCTCCTCAATAGCATGCAGACAGTAAAATAAAACAGCGTGTTTTCCAGTGGTAACTTCTGCTTCTCTGAGATGTCTAAAAAATGAGAATCTAGATAGATTCTTTGATAGACCAAGGAGGCAGTTTGTATTGTCTCAAGATACTATTGAAAATAGTTTAGAATCTACTCAGCCTTCCTAAAGTAAAACAAGCAACACCATAATTCAACTATACTTTATAAAATATAAATTAAAAAAACATAATACAGAAAAATAGTCAAATAACCCGCCCCCAAAAAAGCAGAAAGGAGGAAACAGAACTGTAACTGATAACAGAAGTTACAAATGGAAATTGAATCATAAAATGGAAGTTCTAATCCAAGCATATCAGTAATTACATTAAACATAAATGATATAGACTTACCAATTAAAAAATCAGAATTATTGGAATGAATATAAAAACTAACAAGATAATAATTTTTTGCCTACAAAGAAATCCACTTTACAATGTAACAGTAAAAGTTGGGAAAGGATATACCTTGCAAACAGTAATCAAAGAAAGCTAGAGTAGCTATCTTAATAACAGACAAGGTAGGTTTCAGAGTAAGTAAAATTACCAAGAATAAAGAGGGACATTTTATACATCTAAAAGTGTATGCACCCAGCAGCAGAGCTTCGAAATGCATGAAGCAAAAACTGATAAAAGTGAACAGAGAAACAGACAAGATCTACAATTACAGTTGGAAATTTCAACACTCTTCTTTCAGCAATTGATAGAAAAAGTAGATAAGTAAGGATATAGAACTGAACAATATCCTTAACAAACTGAATCTAATTAACATCTGTGCAACCCTCTGCCTGTTGACAACAGAATACACATTCTTTTCAAGTGCATATAGAACATTCACCAATACAGACCATATCCTGGGTCATAAACCAGACCTTAACATTTTAAAAATTGAAGTTTACAAAGTATGTTCCCTGATCATAATGGGATTAAATTAAAAGTTAATAATGAAAAAGTTAACTAGTAAGTCTCTAAACACTAGAGATCAAATACTACTATCCAACTGAATACCACTCAGCAATAAAAAGAGACTATTGAAGACTTCCCTGGTGGTACAGTGAATAAGAACCTGCCTACCAATTCAGAGGACACAGGTTTGATCCCCAGTCCAGGAAAATTCCATATACCACCGAGCAACGAAGACCGTGTGCCACAGCTACTGAGCCCGCCTGCTGCAATTACTCAAGTCCACGCACCTAGATCCCGCGCACTGAAACGAAGGATAGCTCCCACTTGACACAACTGGAGAAAGCCCTTGTGCAGCAGCTAAGACCCAACATAACCAAAAATAATATAATATATTTTTTAAAAAATTTTTTAAGAAAAAAAGAGAGACTCTTGATTCAACAACTTGGGTAACCTCAAAGGCATTTTGCCAAGTGACAGAAGCCAACCTCAAGAGGTTACATAGGTAGATTCCATTCCTATGAGATTCTGAAAAAGGCAAAACTCCAGCAATGGAGAACAGATCAGTGGTTGCAGGGGGTAGGAACAGAAGATGGGTGATGACCAAGTGTCAACACAAGGGACTTTAGGGACTGATGGAATTGTTCAGAATCCTGATTGTGGTGGGTACAGAAATGTAATGTGTATGAAAACTCATAGAACAGTACACCCCCCCAAAAGTCCATTCTTTATGGTACATCAATCTTTTCAGTGTTTTAATTTGACCCTGTCATTAATCTGCTGAAAATCTTTCATGGCTTTCCGGCGGTCTTGGACAAAAGCCAGACTCCTCATAGACAGGGCCTGCAGCCCATCTGCCAGCCTCCTCTCCCACCAGCGACCCTCCACTCTGCACCCTCCCCCTCCCCAGCACACCAGGCCCTTCCTTCCTTCTTTGAAGATACCTCCTGCCTCAGGGCCTTTGCCCATGCTGGGTACCCTTGCCTGGAGGCTTCCTTCTGCTTCTCTGCAGCCAGCAGTTGTGAGTTGCAGGAAGGGAGGGTGTGGAGAGGCACACTCTAGCCTCTTCCCAAGCACCCCCAAACCGGTGAAGGGCTCCTCCCCAGTCTACCTGATTCACCCTCCCCTCCTTTCCTCCAATTCGCCCCCGAAATTGTCAAGGACCCCAAGGACCATGAGTTTAAAATGCAGATTGTGAAGTAGACCTCAGAACACACCCCTCACCAGTGATCTTCAAACACAGTGGGGTTGGGGTGGGGAAGATGCTGGTGAATGCAGACACAGAGCATGTAACCCAGGAGGCTGGGGGCAGGGGAGGGGAGGAATCGGCATTCCAGCGAGACACCAGAGGCCTCTGGTGGTCCTGGGACCTCGTGGGGGCGCTGCCCTACCTCCCTCTCCCCTCTGGGTGGGGGCCTCTGAAAGGCCCCCTCGTGGGCTCGAGAAGCCCCCTGTTTGAAGCAATTTGGAAACCTTTTCATTTCTTCTTTGTGAGGAAGAAGGAAAACAAGGCTGATTTCTCTGCACATAACCGTCAGGGGCGCGGGAGAGCCCTGAAATGGTAGCTGGAGCGCAGAGGTTCGCGGGGGCCGCAGCCCCACCTCCCTCCCAGCCTGAGGTCGGCAGCTGGTCCGGGAGCCAGGCTGGGGACGCGGGGCCGGGGGCGACGTCCAGGCTGTGGACAGTCAGGATGGGGCACCCCACTGAAGGCTGGGGGTCAGGAGATTGTGAGGCCCCCGCAGAGGGGCTGCACATCCGCCCTTATGCCCCGACCCCGCCCAGCCTTAAAGAGCCTCCAACACCCGAGCCTTCCTCCCGGCCCCTCCAAGGCTTCAGAGCCCTGGGTGTCCAGTGGCGGGGCGGGGGGACTGGGGTGGGCAATGAAGTAGGGGAAGACCCCAGTAGGAGAGTCTCCCAAACCAGAGGCTGCTTCCAGAAGGCCCTAGAAGGTTCCTGGAAGGGGCAGAGGGGCCAGTCATCTGGCAGAGAGTCAAGGCACCAAGGAAGGGATGGGAGGCCTGGGGCCAGAGGCCAGAGGGACACAGACACTCTGCCCCCGTCCCAACCCACCCCCAAGTCAACCCTGGGTCTGTGCTTCCCGTCAGTTCTACTCTCAAAACACATCCAGCTATATACATCAACTGTATCTCAATTCAAATATTGTGTGTGTGTGTGTGTGTGTGTGCCCAGAATCCCAGCCCCGCCCCTACCTCCGCAGTCCCCACCCTCCTCCAAGCCTCATCACCTCCCACCAGCGCACTCCACGTGCCCTTCTCACTGGCCCCTGCCCTCTTGGCCGGCCGTGTCCACTGCCCTTAGAAGCTGCAGAAACCCAGCAAAACCTTGCCAGAGCCTGTGCCTCTTCTACTCAGACCCCCTACCGCTCCCCAGTTCTCCCCAGTGAGTGCCCCCCCCACCCCTGACTTCTGTCGTCTGCATCACTGTCTCCACCCCTGTCTCCCCAAGCACTGCACTTCTGCTTTCTCAGCCTCTTTCCTGCTCAGACAGACCAACCTCAGGCCTTGGCACTGGCTATTCCCGCTGCTGGATGCCCTTCCCCCAGATCTCCACAAGGCTCTCTCACCTCCTTCAGGGCTGTGCTCAAATGGCACCTTCCCAGTGATGCCGCCTGGAATGGCCCCACATGAAAAGCAGCAACCCGCTTCTGCACATTTAATGCCCTCCCCCCTCGCTTGCTGTCCATGGTGCTGATCACCATCGAAGCCTTTGTTCAACATCAGTCGCTTGAGGACCTGCGAACACTGCTGTGTCCGCAGCACACAGAGCAGTGTCTGAACCACAGCAGGTGCTCAATCCATAATCATTAGATGAATATGAGGACCCCAGATCAGGACTGCCTCGCATACAAGTCGGCTCCCTCCCACCCTCCTCACCTTCACGCCTCACCCACCACCTACCAAGGAGGGAAGTTGGATGTAGAATAAGATGGGGAGGCAACCAGAGGGTGAGTCACTGCCCCTAGACACAAGCTTGGGATGCAGGTCAGGCCCTTGTGCCCCAGAAGCATACTCCACATTTCCTTAGCGATGTGCCTCCCCCTCTCCCAGCCCCCCTTCACCCCTGGGGGTTCCCCATGTGGGGACCACCTGGCACCTTGTAGGTGGGATGAACAGAATCACCAGGGTATCTACTGCTGTGCCACATGCTCAGACTTGTCCACTCACCAAGTCTTACAAAATGCTCCACGAAGTTGGTACCTGTGCCCATTTTACAGGTGAGGAAATTGAGGCCCAAGAGGCTTAAGTGACCTGCCCAAGGATACACAACAAGTGAGATCCCCATGCATGGTGTTGGATGCCACTGGACCAAATTCCAGTCTACCCACAGACCTGTGAGCCCTTAGCTTAAGTGAAGAGCCACCCGATTACTAGTGTGGTCACTGCTTCCCACTCACCCCCTACACCTAGCCAGATGACTGGACCCAGCAGAGCAACAAGGATTATTTGAGGGAAAGGGAAGAAGCTTCAGGCTGGTTATTGTGCCAAATGTTTTATATACATCACTCCATGAGCCCTGCCATGACCCCATTACACAGATGAGTGGATAGAGGCCAGGGAGGTTAAGTAACCTGTCCCACGCTGCTCAGCTAATAAGTGGCAGATAGGGCTTCCAGAACAGCTCCAGTACCCAGAGATGATCTGCCAAGTTCCTGAGGCTTTCCTGTCCCTCCTCCCACAAACCCTGCAGTCTCCTGCCCAGGATAACTTCCCTGCTAGCCCCTCCGTGGCAGGGGAGAGTGAGCAGAGGCAGGCCAGGCCCAACCACCAGAGGGCGGCGGGGGCGGCAGCCATGTGTATTAATTTTCTGCCTCGGTGGGTCTGCAGTCCCTGCCGGAGCCTGCAGAGTTGCCATCCAGTCTGTTAAATAATTCTATCTGGGAAGAACCTGGCCTGCGAGGGACTGTGCTGATGGGCCTTTAAAATTTAATTGCCGTGCTAAACGAGATTAGAAGTGGGGAGGTGGGCGGGGTGAGCCCGGATGAAACGATGGCTGTGTTGGAGGAGGCGAGGCGGGCATAGGAAACACGTGGCTGTCAGCCCCTCTGGGCCCTGGCGTCCCACGGCTCCCACGCCACCCCTGCTTGAGTCCCCGCCATGTCCCCATCATCTGGAAAAGCACTGGTCCCCTGGAAGTGGCTGTCCCCCTTCTTCTCCTTCCTGACCCCAGCCCCGCAGGCTTTCTCCCGGCCAGTGCATCAGCCGAGACACCCTAACCTGACGCTGCCCGCTCAGCCCGACAGCTTCGCCTTCACTCGCACCATCTCTTAAGTTGCTGTTCTGTTCTTCCTTCACCGACTCAAACTCTCACCACCCTTCAAAAACCCTCCTGTGGCTTCCGCTCAGTGCATCTTTTCTGCTCACACCTGCCCACTATGGCAAGAAGCCGCACACAGCTTTCTCTGTGGGTGACGGAGATTTCTCCACCTCCACTGCCTCTGGCCTAGCCTTCCCTCCCAGGAAAGGTCGTAGATCAAGCAGCATCCTGTCTCCATGCCTCCCTGCCTCCCTCGTAGATGGGTCAGGCTCCTCCCCAGCCACTGGCCATGGGCTTGGGGCTCACAGTCAGGTGTCCACCAAGAGTGAAAAAGGGCCAGGCTCACCGAGGCTGTGGCCTGTGCGTCAGGAGAACCAGGGGCTATAAACCCTCATCCCACCTTGCTTGGCAAGGGTGTCAGCCTGGTCACTTCGCTATGGTGACACCCTGCTATTTTCAAAGCACAGTTCTTTTCTCAAAGGAAATCTAAGTAGAGTCACCATGTGCAAAACAGATAAAAGTCTTATTTTGTTCACACAAATGCATTTGATATGCTCACGTGGATGCCATATTCTGATTGTAGTGGCAGAGAACAATTATAGTAAGATTAGATAAGATGAGAATAAGGTTGTTTGGTTGAAGATAAGACAAAAATAAGGGATTATCAGTGATGATTTCTATCCTCAGCCTCCAACCTGTTTCCACATTTTCTTTCTGTTGTACATTATTACTTATTCATACAGATAAGTAATTGCAAGTTAAAGAGGGTTTGGTTTCTTTATTATCCCTCCTTGCAATGCTTTTCAGTTAAATACAGATGCAGGAGCATCTTAAAGTCCCAGGTCCACTCAAAGCAACCTATCTGGTGATTTTGCATGGGTTAAAAGTTGGGTAACATAATTGCCAGCTTATATTTGTGTTGAATTACTGTCTTATCATAAAAATGGTATTGAAAATAGACTGGAGTCAAACATTTGTGGACTCTTCAGTGCCTCCAGAGTACCCCAGGGGTCTGCAGATGTGGTGTGGAAGGCATGGCCTTTATGGCCACATCTCACTTAGTGGTCCCTCCTCTTGGGGCCGGGGCCCTGCCCCCCAGAATTCAGCACATTCCTTGATACCCAAAGAGTCAGACGGGCTCAGAGTTGGGAAGGACCCCAGGGCTGTGGGGCCCAACATCCACCTGCAGTCATTCCTCCATAGTGGCCCAGCAGCTAGTCCTCCAGTCTCTGCTTGAACGCCTGAAGCGATGGGGAACTCACCACATTCTGAGGCTGGCTGGTCCAGTCTGGTCTGTGATGGATCAGCTCTAATTGTTAAACATCTCTTCCTCTCTGAGCCTGCTTCCTTGTCCGTAGAATGGGCATAATATTTATCAAGACTGACTGCTGGGAAGATTGAGTCAGTTGACGCTCAGCTGGCATGTGCTGCCTCCCGTGTCCTTCCCAGCCTTCAGCGCACACTCGTTTTATTTTTTTTAAACACTTCTTTATTTGGTTGTGACAGGTCTTGGTTGCAGCTCGCAGGCTCTTTCACCGCGACGCACAGACTAGATGTGGTCCTCGGACTCAGAAGTTGCAGCACATGGGCTCTCTAGTTCTGGTATCCAGGCTTAGTTGCCTCCTGGCGCATGGGATCTGAGTTCAAACCAGGGGCTGAACTTGCGTCCCCTGCATTGCAAGCTGGATTCTTTACCACTGGACTACGAGGAAATCCCCCACCTTCATTTTAGAGAGGCAGATAGCCTCACACCCACAGGTCAGGTCCAGGTGTGGAATATGCCTTGCAGGGTAGGCAGGGGTGGGGCTGGGGAGCAGGCATTCCTCTTTGACTTCCCCAAGGGAAATGTGCCTGGGGAGGGGGCCGCTGAAGAGGAGGGAAGAGTTTCACCAAGTCCACGTACCCCACCCCCACCCATCCCAGGGCCCCACACCCCCACACCAGACTCAGAGCCTCATCTGTCTTCCCTCCTGTCACAGAGCTGGAGCCTTGTCAAGGAGGCGAGGGGATTAAAGCCCAGGGCCAGGCTCGTCCCCACCGAGGAGCGGGCACTTCATTACCCGCCTGCCCAGCTGTCTGTGGCCATCGATCGGCCCTGGCCTGAGCGACCTCCGATCGATGGGCAGCATGTTATTTACTAGATTCTGTCCTGAGCCGGCTGGGAAGAGGGGAAGGGGGCCACATTCCCGAGGCGGAGAGCCCCAGCCATCAGCAAGCCCTGGGGTGGGAGGGATAGGAGAGCAGGGAGTTGGCA